CTTGGCTGAACCGTGTGACAATGATCTCGAGAGGCGCTGCGAAGAAGACGTTGAACAGCAGTGGGGACATTGAGCACCCTTGTCGTAATCCCTGCGTGACCGGGAACCAGTCCGATAGCTCCCCATCGTCCGTGCGGACCCGGGCCCGCATTCCGACGTGGAACTTGCGGATGACGGCGATCATCTCCCCGGGGATCCCGGCCCGGGCCAGCACCTTCCACAGTAGCTCCCGGTCCACCGAGTCATATGCCTTCTGCAGATCGATGAAGCACATGTAGAGCGGGATTCTCCTCCTCCCTGCTGTATGCTATTCTCCTTGATGTATGTCCTTTGTATTGCCTTCGGCCTCTGTGCTGTGTTTCTTTTGTTCCTTTTTTCATGACCTCCCTGCCTACTCTACTGCTGTGTTGGGTACCGTGATATCGCTTTTGCTGTTGCCTTTGTTTTTGTACGTCTGGCTGTCTGCCCATCTGCCGCCTCTTTGTCCTGTTTCCTCCGTTACTCCCATGCCCTGGTGCGTAGTGCCTGGTGCTGGTACGTTACCCTTTGATTTTTTCTTTGGGCGGGTGTGGGAAGCGTCCTCCTTTATTTTTGTTTTTGTTGTATTTTGATCGGTTTCCGAGGGCTCTTTTCTCGAACGGTCGGTGCGATACCTGTTCTTTTCTTTCTATCATTTTGTTTCTTTTTCCGAGTGGTGTGTACCTTATTTTTGTTTTGTTTCCCCGCGGCGTCGTATGTGCCGGGTTTTGAGACCACGGGCTCCCCATTTTTTGTGGACTACAGAGCTAATGTGAGAAACAACAACAACAGCCGGTCGCGGAACAAATCTGCATGACCGTCATCACGTTGTGACAGATTGGGTTTCTACCGCTGTTGGCGAGNTCCGAGGGCTCTTTTCTCGAACGGTCGGTGCGATACCTGTTCTTTTCTTTCTATCATTTTGTTTCTTTTTCCGAGTGGTGTGTACCTTATTTTTGTTTTGTTTCCCCGCGGCGTCGTATGTGCCGGGTTTTGAGACCACGGGCTCCCCATTTTTTGTGGACTACAGAGCTAATGTGAGAAACAACAACAACAGCCGGTCGCGGAACAAATCTGCATGACCGTCATCACGTTGTGACAGATTGGGTTTCTACAGCTAGCTGTAGGCGAGCGTGCGTACGTTGAACGTGCCGAAAGATAGGTTGCCCTCTCGTGCCTTCTTCTTCGCAGCCGCCTTGACGGCCGCTGCGGTCTCGTGGGCCGTGATGTTTGTTGGAGAGCTTGGTGCGCCCGGCGCAGTTGTAGACGGCAAATTTAAAGAACCGCGCGGCGAGTTAACCGGCAACGATAAAATGCAGTAAACTGCCCGCAGGTGGGTGTGGTAACCCGCCGCATCTATCTGTGATGTTCCGGAGCGTGATGGCTCTGACGTGTTGACGCTGGTGTTGTTGTGATAGCTGTTGTGATGGCGTGATAGCCTAGAGGCGTGACAGCCTGGCCGCGTGATAGCTGGTGGATATGTAGTATGGACGCGGGCGTGATAGCCCAGAGCGTGATGGCCGGGCAAAGGAAGACCAATTATCCAAGGGCACGTGGTCAACACCGTTGCAGACACGTATACCCAGAAAACAACAATATGTGTGTGGCAAACATGGTACCACCATTCCCCCAATTTTATCACAACTGCGGAACCCCCACAATTCCCCGCTCCATCTTTTCAGAACGTTACTCGTTTGCACTAATCTGTCACAATGCTGTGAGTACATCCAACAGCCCCCCTGCTCGCTACACTGTCAAGATTATTCCCGGACATGTGTATCACACAAAATCCATCCCAAAAGCTCACGAAATCAATGTCAATGTGCAACAACAGTAGTCGCATCTCCTCCCATGCTCTTGCAACAAAATAAACATTAAACCAGAAACAGTATAGTAGTTGTTCGTACCGGAATTGCCATCGGTCTCCACCATATCCAGAATCTCCGAAGATCATATACATTCACTAACAACACCATTAAATCAGAAACAAACACTGATTGGAATTCCCATCAATTGGTTGCAAAATTTATCCACGGGAACATCCCCCGGTCACCCCAGTGGTCTAATGAGGAGCCTCGCAGCCTGCCAAAGGCCAGGTCATGGGCTCGAGTCCCGACAGAGTGATTTTTTCTCGCTAACTAAATCCTGGTCTCCGTTGGAAGCGACGCGCTGCAGAGCTCGTTGTTAGTAAGTAAAATATATATTTATCAACTTCATAATATAAGTCGCGAGGGAAGGAATTGCTGTACCCTTCTCGCGATAAAAATATCTCACAGGCAGGAACCGCAGGAGGGGATCTGACCCCCCCCTCCTATGTGACCCCGGTTGGGTCGTCTAGCTGGTAGAAGTGGAGGATAGGGGCCAGAGGGGCAGACGACAGAGTCCACTCATGGGAGAAAAACAACAAAAACAACAAAAACAAGAATTTCTACCGGTCGATATTGAATTTTCCAAATTCCCAACATCAAACCATCCAACAATCAAATCGTGGAAACAACCGCAATGGGTAATATCAGAAACAAATGAAAACAAACACAAACGCACACACATACAACACTGTCCGGGACAAATCACTTCCCGACGATATCTCACATCCACAAGTAGCAGAAAAAAACTACAAGAATGAATCATGATTGCACAAAATGCTCGACTCCATACCTCATCCTATTATTCCTCGAACACAAACCTCCGTTCAGTTTCCAACAAATAATTAATTTTCTTCCTGCGTACCCTACCCACACATGTCTGGTTACGGCCGGCCCCCGTTCTCCGACTACCAGACGTCAAGGGATCAACCCTCATCGTGACAAACGCATCCTGTGATATTTGGGTGCTGAGAGCAACACCAAAAACCGCAACCGGCATTGTGAACGAAATCAAATCCCGAACTTTGCAAATCAACCGTCGAAAACAGGCGAATCATTGCATTCTTCGTGATGTTGCGGCAATTCATTGTCATGACACACCAATTCCCTCCCCAATGACGATTGACAACAGCACCGAATACATAGCATTCTAGACTATAGAAATAGAGGGGTTACCCATGGCCAAGAAAAATGCCACACGAAGAAAGGAAAAACAACAATAACAACAAGCACAAACATAGTAGTAGTAGCGGCCTTCACGACATGGCCGCAAGGATTCAAACCAATAACCAACCCTGTTCCATCACCATGATCTTTTCTGAACAGTGTCGACGCAGCCTTAATGTCGTCAAAATGTTCTTCCAGGTGTAATTTCAATCGCAAAACCAAATCCGAAAGAACTCCGAAACAAGCCAAAACTAAAACCAAACAAAACAAACAATTCGGCACAACAACTCAAGCAAAGCAATATTACAACTTCTTGGGCGACAGAAACGAGTATTCGGCAAGCGCAGAGGCCCCAACAATCACTCCTGCCAACTCCTTTCTCCAGTATAGCCTGTGAGGACCAAACTAAATAGTGCATACACGCAAATCGGTGCCGCCGTAGCTGGTCCAAGAAATGGATAGAAATTTCAACAAACATGTAGACAGCCCCCCTTCTGTCACATCCCGAAACATACCCCTTGTATTCCAGCCTTCATGCAAGAACACTCCGCGAATGTCAATACGCGAACAAACAAACGTGCAGACAGCTCCCCTGCAAAGGAAGCTGTTCATATGGAAAAACATAAACAAATCGATTGCTTTTTATGCCCTCTAGAAATAATCATGGTCACACATGACATTCTCCCCCATGATTCTGGATGCACACAACAGGAACAAAGAAGAAAATACCAGTGCAAAAGTAGAACGCGCTGCCGGATAGAAAGGCAAACAAAACAAAACTGAACACGAAACCCATATTGTTAGATCAGACTCGATGTCGTCGCGCGATGCGAGGCGCGCCACGAGCCCAAACGGAATGCCAAGGGGCGACCCCCAGCAGGTTGCTCTCGGTCTCCCACATTCACCCCTCCCAAACATGCTGTTCTCCATCGCCCTCCATCTCGCCACCCCCCAGCTCGCCGCCCCTCAACTCACCGCCCCCTACCATCCTAGGCCAAATAATCGGCTTGCCGTTCAATACACGCCGGGTTGCATGCCCCGAAGAAGGCGATGTCGACGACGACGCGCGGGCGGTGGCTGGAGCGATCTACGTACCTTCTGCGGCGGAATGCTGCTGTGACGACGAAGTGGCAGCGGCGGCACTCCTCGCCGCGGGCGTCCTCGGGCCCGGCAGCGCGGCGGCACCTGGCGAAGGCGCAAGCGGTCCATCGGCCTCGGAGGTCGGCGGCGACAGCAACGGCGCGGCGGCGATGACGGCGGCGGGCAGCGGAGCGGCGGTTGTCCTCGTCGCGGTCATCCGCGGGTCCGGCAGCGCGGCGGCACCCGGCGAGGGTGCAGACGGCACGCCGGCCCTGGGGTTTGGCGGCAGCGGCGACGGTGCGGCGGCGGCGGCGGCGGCTGCAGTCCACGGTGCGCCACCAGCGGTGTGCGACGGCGACGATGAAGTGGCGTCGGCGGTGGCGGGTCGCCACGGTGCAGCGTCAGCAGCGGTCGGCGAAGCGGTGATAGTACCCCCCGCGGCAGCGGTGACGGCAGGCCAAGGCGCAGCGGTGGCAGCGGGCGGCCAAGCGGCAGTGGTCCCGGGTCCCAACTCCCTGGGGAGGGTGTTCCATTGTTGCTTGGCAGTCAAACTCAAAATGGGTTCGGGAAAGTGGTCAGCGCGGTGGGGGAACACGTCAACATCCATTTGTTCGGCACGGCCCAACACAGCCACATCACCCTCAGACGCAACTCCTTCCCTCGCATCAAACATCCCCGCACTCGTCCCCGAGTCTCCCTGCAACTGCTCACCACCTTTGAGTGTTGACATCCTAGTGTGGCATACCGGAGCTTGAGAGGTTTCAGCAGGATTCACTACAGAAACAACAGGAGCATCAAGCACAGACATACCAGCAACGGGAACACCAGTCACCCCCCCATCACCAACAATCTCATTTCCAGACACAGAATCAGACTCGCCTACAGAATTCACTTTACGTGTGAGGAAGAGACGAAGAGGGGCGCCACTTGCTGGAGGAATGAATGTCGCCCGGAGGTGGAGAGGGGCTCGCCGTCGCGGAGGCGGGAGGTCGTTGGAGTAGCGCCGGTGTACTGCTGCTGCTGCTATTGCTGCTGCTGCTGAGTCGTCAGCTGAGTAGCGGTGCCTAAGGCCTCGTTGAAGACTCGCTGCTCATCAGCGTCGGGCCCTGCAGAACGGGGACAGAACGGGCGGCCCCGACCCCAGCTTGCCCCTTGGTCGAGTTGGTGCAGCTGCTCTCGATATGATCCGCCCGACAAGCGCCCCGAGTCTTGCCCCCGGGCCTGAGGAAAACCTGGTCCCCGCAAACTGTCCCTCTCGAGAATGAACGCCATGAAGTCGTTACAGTGGAACAAGAAGTCCTGGCGAAGTTTATGGCAGTCCGGGGTGTTGTGGGAGGAGTTCGCTCCGTGAACCTGACAGAAGAAGGCACTTCTCTGCTAATGAGATGGTCCGCCATCCGCTCCCGCAGCAGCTGCTCTCCTCATGCCGCCGCCCCGGCCCACCGGCAGCGACGGGCGCATGCCTCGTGTCCTCGATCCTCTCTCCAGACCTCCGTGTGATCCTCTGCTCGTGCTCGGCCAGCCTCAGCGTCTTTTCCAGAATACCTCTCGAAAGCATGGGGTGGCACAGAATACGGTCTTTGACATCGTCGTACATTGGGAGCAAGCCACGCGCAATGTGTCGCGGCATTAACGTCTCCTCTCGATTGTCCCCACAAGACTGTAATTGCATCCACACAGTATTCGCCCTTCCCCAGTAGTCGACCAGAGTCTCTCCATGGTTCTGCCTTAGGCAGTTCCAAGTGTCGTCCAGGATTTCTCTCTCATGCGTCCTACTTCTCCTGTAGTAGGACTGAAACACTCCCCACCCTGCTTGTGGACTCTCTGCAGCTAGTATCTGGTCTAGTATAGGTTGAACGTTGATTTTCGTGATCAAGCATATCCAAACTCTCGTGGCCTTTCGAACACTTTCATCGCCAAACCTCTGCCGCAACCAAGTCTTATCGACGTGCAACGAACCCACAGGAATCTCTTGTCCTCTCATGATCTTTTCAAGACCCTCTGCATCCATCCACGCTGAGAAACAACTCTTGAAAATTCGGAACGCGATAGTCACACTTCGATCCTTCGAGAAAGCCTCATTTCACTCAGGTACTTCGACTCTCTCTCTCAGCTTCAACTCTATGGACTGGGAACTAGACGTGCCTGAGCCGACGTCATGTCCCGGAGTCTGGGAGGTGAAGGTGGCAACCCGGCGGAGGAGGTCGACAAGGGCGATAGTTGGATCTTGTTCCCCTCCATGCGCGGCTACTCTCGGTCCTCCCTGGTCCACATCGGGGAGATTCAACGAATCTCGTCCTTTCCCCCCGTTCTCTTCCCCGTGGGGAGAGGTAGTCCCTGGTCCCCCCGGAGGTGTTCGTTCATCTCCGCCAGCCGTCTTATTCGCGCAGACACAGCAGCCACTCTCTTGATCTACTACGCTCGCGTGTTGGAGAGCTTGGTGCCCCCGGCGCAGTTGTAGACGGCAAATTTAAAGAACCGCGCGGCGAGTTTACCGGCAACGACAAAATGCAGTAAACTGCCCGCGGGTGTGGTAACCAGCCGCATCTGTGATGTTCCGGAGCGTGATGGCTCTGACGTGTTGACGCTGGTGTTGTGATAGCTGTTGTGATGGCTTGACAACCTAGAGGCGTGACAGCCTGGCCGCGTGATAGCTGGTAGATATGTAGTATGGACACGGGCGTGATAGCCCAGAGCGTGATGGCCGGGCAAAGGAAGACCAATTATCCAAGGGCACGTGGCCAACACCGTTGCAGACACGTATACCCAGAAAACAACAATAATATGTGTGTGGCAATGATGGTACCACCATTCCCCCAATTTATCACAACTGCGGAACCCCCACAATTCCCCGCTCCATCTTCCCCCCCGGTGTTGGCCATCGGGGTTGGGCTTTCGTCGCTTGGCACGACGTTGTAAAACAAGCCGCTGCGAAGGTGTACCGATTCAGGTAAAAGTCAATCGACGGATACCCTGCGAATCGGGTCCTCCTTAACACTCTCCACCCACAGAATTTACCCTCAACTGGGAACCTCTTGTGGCCAGGATGGGTAATTCGATGAAAGTGTCACAAGGTTCTTTCTAGGATCGACTCCAAGAGGTGTTCTCAGGACTGACACACATTGCGTCCTTGGGAAAATATCCAAGTCAGGAGAAAAAGTGTGCACCCAAGGAGGTTCGAACCAGTATCCAGCTGACGCCGTATGCGAAGGTGTACCGATTCAGGTAAAAGTCAATCGACGGATACCATGCGAATCGGGTCCTCCTTGACACCGCCCCTCCCCGATGTTGCCACGTTGTAAAACAAGCCAATTCACTTCGTGAGCTCGGCAACCAGGTTACTGTTTCTTTTCTTTTTACCTCTGTTTTTTTTTGGCGGTAACCATAATGGTGGTCGAGTGGGTCACGTTGTGCGAGGTTAAGAAGCCTCACTCCGCGCAAGGGGGATGATCGCACCACGTTGTGTTAAAATGGTCAAGCACCCTCGAGGCAGTTACACAGTGCTTACAACTGTCTCTGGAAGTGAAAGCACCAGAAAATAAATTAAGTCATACGCAGCTGTCATCCGTACGCAAGGAAGTAAGCACAAGATGCCGAACACCCTTAGCAGGATGCAGCGCACCCTTCATGCGACTCGCCGAATATCTCACGGCGCTTCGCGCTTGGTGATGTGAGAGCCTGGTCCGGTGAGAACCCGGCGTGCTCCGTCCCGGCTTTGTAGGGATGCGAGGTCAATGGTCTAACGACTACGGCATGCACGACCATGAGTACCCCCCCACACACACACACCTTCCTCCTGCGGTGCATGCTGAGTTTTATGTTGATCACGAGAAGGGTTCAGCCGTCCCTTTCCCTCGCCAAAGGTGCTAACGTCGAATATTGGTACTCACGAGAGCTTTTCAGCTATATTTCGCTACAACCCGCAAATTCTGTAAACTGTTCACCCCATGGGGACTCGGACTCACGACATGTGCGACTAGCGGTTTACGTGGATACCACTAGACCACCGACCGGCGTACATCTTAAAAACCTGGCAGAACGCCGAAGGGAGACAACAGGAAATGATCACATACTCTCGTCGTAATGCTCCTAACATATGGTCTATATCGAAAAATATCAAGGCAGGAAAAAATGTACCTTTGATAGTGGGATTGGGTTTTCGTCTAGCGTGGAAGTGCTACCGCCGGGACAGTGCTTCGATGTACGACAGGCCACGGGCCGACCGCCAGCTCAAGATCCGGCTACTCCAGGCTGAAGTGGTGGAGACTCTCCTGTATGGGTGCGCCTAGTGGAGCCTAACAGCGGAGCACTACACGAAGCTCAACGGGACCCACCGCCCGTTCCTTACACAGTGCATCGGCTGGAGCAAGCGGAAACGCTCAGACCGCCCCCTGTTCTACGCCCAGGCCCTCATCCAGGCAGGCTGCGAGGAAACCATCGAGGCCACCGTGCGCAAACGGAGGCTGTGTTTCGCGGGCTTTGTTGTGCGCATGGAGGACAACCGCCTCCCCAAGCGCATGCTGCTGGGAGCGATGGCGGGGGGTGTGGGATACCGGGGCGGGCAGGAGAGCGACTGGGTGTCTCGTCTAGGAGAGGACCTCGTGGCCTTCAACATGGGAGACGAAAAGGAAGGGGGGAAATGGAAAGAGAGCGCCAAGAACTCGGAGGTGTGGTACAACAAGGTCGAGGACGGGGCGGCATGGTTCATGAGGAAATGGCACAGGCAGGAGGCGGAAGCGTCCGCGAAGCGCCAGCGCGCGAGGGAAGCAGAAGCAGAGAGTACGGCCATCTCAGGACCGAAGAGGAAGAGATTCGGGGAAGCGGCGGTGGGGGGGAAGAAACGGCGACCGGGCACTGCTGTAGAAGCGAGTAGGGCGGCCGAGGCAGCACTTGTGGCGAACTATTTCTTTTTTTTTCTTCTCCCATCATCGGATTCTGTCGTCTGCCCCTCTGGCCCCTATCCTCCACTTCTACTAGCTAGACGACCCAACCGGGGTCACATAGGAGGTGGTGAACTATGTACTCGGCTGATGTTGTTGCGCCCTGTTTCCCTCCCTGCTGTATGCTATACTCCTTTATGTATGTCCTTTGTATTGCCTTCGGCCTCTGTGCCGTGTTTCTTATTTTGTTTACCTCCCTGCCTACTCTGCTGTGTTGGGTACCTTGATCTCGCTTTTGCTGTTGCTTTTGTTTTTGTACATCTGGCTGTCTGCCCATCTACCGCCTCTTTGTCCTGTTTGCTCCGTTACTCCCATGCCATGGTGCGTAGTGCCTGGTGCTGGTACGTTACCCTTTAATTTTTTCTTTAGGCGGGTGTGGGAAGCGTCCTCCTTACGTTTGTTTTTGTTTTATTTTGATCGGTTTCCGAGGGCTCTTTTCTCGAACGGTCGGTGCGGTAGCTGTTCGTTTCTTTCCATCATTTTGTTTTCTTTTTCCGAGTGGTTTGTACCCTATTTTGTTTTGTTTCCCCGCGGCGTCGTTTGTGCCGGGTTTTGAGACCACGGGCTCCCCATTTTTTGTGGACTATGGAGCTAATGTGAGAAACAACAACAACAACATCAACATGTGTGCCGAGCAGGATTGCACCCACATCCCGGACCATTTGACGTCATAGACTGCTAGACTATGCTGCGGCGGTACGTGTACTTGTGGCCAGCTTTCCAGTGGTTCTTGCGGTCTGGTGCTCTTTCCCATTTACCACGCTTAACGCCCACTGATTGGTCGAGAGTTGTGGTTCGGGCGGTCATTCCTCTCCGGTGCCCTCTCCCTATTCCGCATTCCGACAACCTCATACTTTTTCCTTTCTTCTTCGACGGAGCCATGCCCGATAACAACCTCATTTCCAAGTATTTTCTCATCATCAGTTTAGTCTATGGTACAGAAAGGGCCGCCACCACTTGGGAACCCAGGAGTTGACGAATTGACCTGAAAAAATAACGTGTATACCATGTGGTACAGTTGATAGTAAACTTGATCGACATAAGTCGCGAGGGAAGGGATTGCTGCACCCTGCTCGCGATAAAAAAATCTCAGGCAGGAACCGCAGGAGGAGGTCCAACCCCCCCTCCTGTGTGAGCCCGGTTGGGTCGTCTAGCTAGTAGAAGTGGAGGATAGGGGCCAGAGGCAGACGGCAGAATCCAATGATGGGAGAAAAATAAATAAAAATTCTAAGAACTTGAGCACTGCTTGTACTTGTGGTGAGCTCAGTTAAGAACCTCTACACTAAAACCTATATAACGACCATTCGTAGCAAGACCGTAGGAACTACCGCTGTACATGTAAGAACCCCAGCCTCGGCCGAAACTATTAATAGAGCTTCTGAAGTGCCGGCACGTTCTGCATATACTCAAATACGTTGGGTTGTGTTGTAGGGTGGGTTGGGTCGGTCGGTCGGTCGGTCGCATTGGGGTTTCGGGGTCGAATTGGATAGGGTAGGGCAGGGTAGGGTCGAGTCGGTCGGTCGGTCGGAAAGTCGATCGGGCGGTCTGGTTCGTGCGTACGTCTTCGTGGTCGTTCAGTCGGCTCCTAGGCGTCACCTTTCTCCATCATGTTTGTCATCTTCGTGCAGTGTCCGATGCCAACCATTGTGGCGGAGTATTTTTGCGGGTTGGCGTTTGGTATTTTTCTGCGGAGGGCTTGGTTGGCCGTGTTGGTTGCAAGCATCGCCTAGGCGTGTTGCAGTCGTAGGGTTCAGGTAAGTTTTGGGGGTTGGTTTTGCTGAGTGCTCTGGTGTAGGATAGCTACATATAGATGAGAAACGAGAGACGCACCGGTGGGAAAGAAAAAGAGAAAACATAAAATGACACGCCATTATTACCAACGGACAAACAGGGCCACCAGCGATCGTTCAAGTACGTATGTCATCATCACTCGTGGGGGGTCAATGCAATTGTGCAGTGATGAGGGGGGGGTGTACTCATATTCGTGCATGCCGTAGTCGTTAGACCATTGACCTCGCATCCCTACAAAGCCGGGACGGAGCACGCCGGGTTCTCACCGGACCAGGCTCTCACATCACCAAGCGCGAAGCGCCGTGAGATATTCGGCGAGTCGCATGAAGGGTGCGCTGCATCCTGCTAA